CATTTTCTCCGTCACAGGTGCAACTTTCAGGCTTCCTCTTACGTACTCATTCTTAATCTTGTCCATTCGCGTTACTCCACACATCCATCTCAACATTCGCATCTCTGCCACATGTACTCGCCTTTCATCCGTCCCTTTTGTAGCCCAACATTCAGAACCATACAGTACGACAGGTCAGGTTTATTTTATTGCTTGAAAGCTTCATTATTTATACACGAGCAAATAATATAAACACTAACGACAAGGAGAAATAATAATGTTAGACATTAAAATTTTTAAGTTGAACTGTTGATCAGTCTTTAACTCTTTTAGGTAAAAGTAGGCATTAAACATGCATTAAATCATTATACGTCCGGTCTGTGACATGTTCAATTATAGTCTATGAATAATTCGAGAGTTTTTGACATAGCATTAGTACTGACATGACCATCTACCCTTTTTAATGTGCATGCTATGCCATGGAGCTAGGTATATTATAAAATAAAAACTCATTTTTATATAAAGCTTGTTTATTTTAACTTCATGTTTTGCAAAATAGACAAATATACATCATTTTAAATTGTTCTTTCACTTAAAAATCCTCATCAACATTTAACAATAGTATAATACATATTACACACGAGCTTCAACTTACTTATTACATATGAATAATTACAATTTACATTACAGTAATACAATTTCGGGAGTTTATTTTATGTCGATGTTTACAGAAACTTAGATCTTGACATTATAATATTACCATCGTATACCAACATTACGTATGCCGTCACGTAGAAATAAAAATAAAAGTTTATTTTTAATTCAAATAATGGCAAGGAAACGAAATAGTTTCGACAACAAAAAAGCTCTCGCTATCGAAACATCGACATATGTCTCTCGAATAAATACAAAACATACAAATACACTTAATATAGTTACATATTATATGGTTCCTAAGTATTTACAAATCAACTTATCTTTACAATAAAGTAACATTCTGGGGATTACTCAAGATTCACGATCGCACTTTAGAGAAAAACTAATTATTGTCTTGGAGTCATTCGATTTCAAATTTTGAGTCTAAATCCAAGCTAGAATAGTTCGACTTATGAAACAATTATTTTTCCACATAGAATTCAATAAACTGATCGATTGCAAGACACTGATTAGTAAATTGTGTTATTAAAACTTAACACGAATGATTTCAAAATTAAACCATGTTTCTGCTACTTCAATCTATAGAGTTTTGAATGAAAAGTTTATTAAATGGTTTTGTTCGCGACCTCTTCTCAATGTATTTCAGAGTTATAATCCCCGGGAAAGCTTTTAGCGTAATAAAACGTTAATCCAGAAAGTTGTACATTTTCGTATAAATAAATATCAAATACAAATATAAATGGGAATTCGTTAATCGTTACCCTGAATCACATCTCTGCAGAGGTCACTTATTAATAAATTTTCGATCACCCATCTAGCAGTAGACTTTCGTAACAGCTGTAAATTTCTCAATAAAAGACCAAATGTTGGCGTCTTTGGAACATATACAATTGATAAATATTAAATGTATTTGAACTATTACCAGTAGTCTATGGCTAGTGATTCAGACAGTTGCATTCATTATGGGCTTTTTTGACAACGACACATGAGTAACTCAGAGCCTATAGAATCCCTATCGTGTAGTGGCTATCCACGTGAAATTGGCGTGAAATTGAAATTGTGCGAAATGCGCAGATAAGCCATCAATAAAAGAAGAAGAAGAAGAAGCATTCGGAATCCTTTTTATTCCACTAAGGTTCTCTGGATATTATAAATTGGGATATCACACAGACGAAGTAGCGTAAAAGTCTATCAATAATTATGTAGCAATCGAACGCAATTTTCCTCGGCGCAAACGTTTTTACCCTTATCATGTAACTGTAATACAATTTTAATAATTACATTACGTATACATTTTTCGATTTCCGCAATGAAAATTACATACAGTCTTATATAAATTAGTTTTTACTGGTATTATGTTTTTATGCATAGAAATTTACAAGCAAAAACCTATCCTGATTATACTTAAATATATGATGTTTATCAATTATTGATGTAATCAACTTATCTTTATAAAATGGAACTTAACAGCTTAATTATACAAGTTAAAACTAGTATTCAAATAAATAAATACTTTATCAAATTTTCATAGCATCCGTTCGTTAATTATGACTAGCATCTCATAGAAATAAAAAATGCACCTCTTTTATTATTATAACCTATTTCTACAGTAAATGTTTATGGCACTGTACAGGTAATTAACTAGATTTTATAACTTAAGCCAAAAAATATCTATCTGTCCTTTATTAGCTATAGTTTTAACGGTAAATATTCTAGGTAAAGTTTCTACTTTCTTCTGTATGATCTTCTCTAATATTTCTTTGAAAAACGACAAAAAAGATAACTGATCATATTAAGATGAAACTGATTGACGTTAAGAAGCCATTAAAAGATAGGAAGAAGAAGACTACGCGCGCACTAATAATTTTCTGTCACTGTGACTAATGGATCATTTAGAGAAGGCCAGAAGCCAAAACAGTCCAATAAACCAATCCAGGCCCAGTGTAAATGGTGACAAATCCTCAAGCCAGTAATCAAGTCAGTCCAATGACATATAGAACGGTTTTTAATTTTACTGAACTAGCTTACTGAATTTACTTGGCTATTGGCCTTGTGTAAATGGTCCGTCCATCTTTGTTTTTGTCAGCGTGCTCCTTTCCCCCATCTATGTAAGATACCTAAGGATCACCAAGCGACAGGAGATAATAAAACGCGGGTAGCCTAACAAGAGTTTAGAAACTAACGCTACAAGAAAATAGAGTCATGTGGTTTGTTGTTCGCATCGAGGAAGAAACAACTAAATAATTTTGAAAACACATGAACACTAATCCCACGTCTCAGTATCTCTAAAGACACAAGCCATAACGCCAAAGTATCCTTAGTAATTAGGAATTTGTTCACATTTCTTTAATTTATTTTTCGTTTTTAATTTTCTACCGATTATATATACAATGAAAGGTCAATTATGGACGTAAATATAATGTTCTTTTTTTAATAACTTTCTTTAGAAATCTCGTTCAACAAACAAGAATTAACCTAGGAGAAATGTAAATAACTAACAACAACAAAGTAAATGGATTGAATTCTCTCCGAAAAAATGGTACATCATGTGTACCACACACATTTCAGGGGACACAACGTGTACACTCTTGCCTCACATGACTCTATTTAATGTACTGACACAAGTGAGTTGCCTTCTATTCTTATCACAACCTAAATCATAAAAACTTCTAAAACATAAAAAAACTATAAGGCTAACACTAAATAAAACACTTTTTATAACAGAGTTTTCTCAAAAAAATATAATTGAAGTTTATTTTGTGTAATGCAATTGTGCTAATATTATAATTTTATTTGCTTTGTTCTAATAACTCTATGTGAGAACGAATCGTATTGGTCATACATATCATCAGCATTATAAAAATATCTTATTCTCTTACACTAACAATTAACAACCGTAGCAATAACAAGCATTCCAAGCTGAGACTGTATAGCGAACTTAACGATATTACCTCGTACCTTTTCACTCTTACTAATATACATCAATGCGAAAAGGACAGAGATAGCATCATAATATGTTAACAGTATTTAATCTTAATGTAGATTTCCATATTTGTAATATAAAGTTTGCAATAACAAAATGTATGTGTGTGAATACAGACTCAGCTTAACTAATTAAATGGTAACGTCTATTCTCAGCTTAACATAATGCGATAACGTTTTAAAATATAACCATAGGAAAATAGCACTTAAAAATACAAGTAAAATAGGTAAGAGAAGTACCTAAGCATATTATAGTTTTTCTACATTTTGTTCACTTACATTATAAATGTATCGTATGGTAGTTTAAAAATGAAAAATTGGACAAGACAAAAATGATCTGTTGAAATGATTCAGGTACTCCTCATTCTGAAGCAAATTAACATTAAATTTCTAAGGCGCTATCACAGGCGTCGTGAATTATGAAAGAAGTTATATTCAACTCCCGTTTAATTTTGATGTAAGTAATATCAGATGCAGTTTATGCAAGTTCGTTAACTTTGAATGCAACCTTCCTGAAGTTTTGGATACTAAAGTAGATGGAACTCTTGTTATAAACACTCTTTCATCTTCTTTTGAAAAGTTAGTTTTTTTAAATATATTTAAACTTAAAAGTTAGTAATTATAAATTAGTAGGTAATAAATAATAATATTCATTTTTTCATTTTTAAAATATTGCTGAATATTTTTTATAAATTGCTTAAAATTCAAACGTTTTAGGTTCCTGTACTTGTGAAGAACTAAGAGTTAAAGGGGCGCAGCAGCGATGATCCTCTGGCAAACTAGGCATATGCCTAGGGGCGCTGTATTACAAAGGGTCGTGATAGATGCGAGAGTTTAAACATATACTCGTCGCCTTATTTTTGATAAAAACAAAACAATTGTACATTACTGTTTTAACTGCATCGAATACTTAACCGATTATTTTTCGCTCATTATTTCTTTATTTGTTATTTTTTTCTGATCTTCGTAAAAATATTTAGTTAGATTTTTTTATAGTCCACTTTATTGTTTGCATCGAAGTATTTGAAACTGCATCTGTTAGTGATTGTACGTTACCGAGTAATACTGGTCCAATCAGTCTCGAACTTCGATAAGTATTAAATATTTATGTATCGTATCAAAATTAAAATTATACAGTATTAAAAATAAACTTAATTTCATATTCAATTATATTATAAAGAAATAAATACACTAAGACATGGAAACTTCAAAGCAATTTTGACAAGTTAAAAGTTTTAGTTAAAACAAAATACCTTTGATATTATATCGATTACATACGGTATCGATAAAATAAGTCCTATAAATATATTTATAGTTCACTACTGTCCCAATAATCCATAAGGTTAAAGAGAGATCGCAGATTTTTAAGTCCGAATAGTCCACTACACAAAATCTCTCCTCCCAGGGCCGATGATGCTGTTTCTGTCACTCACCACCGATACATCTGAGCCGTTCGTTCTCCTTTTGCAATAGTTGAATATCCTCGAAGACTGTTGAAAAATAAAATAAATTATGCCATAAATCTACTTCTAGATACTGCCGATAGCACCTCGGGTTGTAATAAAAATCACCGTTTGTCATTAAGACTTACTTAAATTTTAAAATTTATATCAGTAATTTAACGTTACTAACGTGCTAATGTGTAGGTACATTCCTCTTAAACCACTCTGTATATTGATGAAAGACGTATTAAAATACGTTATGTATTATAATGCATATATTATATAGGATCTTTTTAAATACTATGTGTATGATACGTCAAGACAATCTGTTTTGCTTTTTGACAGTTGTTTACTTAAAGATACTACCGACCAGCACGCGTAGCATGACGAGCTCGAGAACGTTTTGTCTACACTCAAATGTCACTTTTCTCGGGTGCGCCCATACTATATCTCACTCTCGACCCGAGAAACTGACAAATGAGTGTAGATAAAGCATTTCTCGAGTTTGTCATGCTACACGTGCTGATTAACAATCGAATTACCTACTAGTGTAAGCCGAACTAAGAGTAACTAAGATTGAGTGAAAGTAAACTCTACAGGTAGAGATATTTATTAGGCACTGAATCAACAAGGTAGCAACCAATTAGACCATCTGATGGCTACCACAGTTATCTCGCTATCATATCCACTAAATGAGTTTTTGATTTTCACACATTAAAAGTCTGTTACTATTATTACCTTAGTCCGACCTAGATTTACATTCTTCTTCTATACATAGTATGAAACTAAGTCGCTTGCCGTTGTCTGTAAGCTCTTTTGAACTACATAACGGATTATAATACAGTTTCCATCAATATACTGATTCAAGAAGAAGGTTTGTATGTCTTATACAGGACCACGCAGATGAAGTCACTGGTGGAAAACCGTACCTTTAAGGTCGTAGTGACTACAGTTCCTCAGGGAACTGTATAGCCCCTTACAAAAATAAATAATAATAAGCCTACTCTTTAAAAAATAACATAAAAATTAATAAAACAGCTAAAACCTACATTGTTTATTACGGAGTTGAAAACAAACACTCTATCTGCCGTCCCAAACCTAAATCGCAGTAATAGCTTTAAGCTTTAACCGAGAAAAACACCGTGAAGTGTTTTTTTTTTGTACCTTTAACAAATCACTGTTTATTATCAAATTTTTAATGCAAAGTGTAAGAAAAGTAAGAATACTAAAATAATTCACAAATTTCAGGTCGAAAACATGCCATTTAAATTTATTATATTTTTTTTAACCTGCTTCTTGTTTTATTGCTAAATCGTTAAATGCAGTAAAGTGAGCTGTTTCATGCATATTTTGTTATTACATTAACTAACTAAAATGCACTAAGTCGATCAAAATTATTACTGCATATTAATTAGGTGGTGATCATAACGTATTTTCAGATAAATTTATACACCCGGTGGAACAGAACGACCGACACTCCCGAGGTTCGTGGAGATTACTATTTGTCTTTAATATGATGTAAAAAAAAATATGTTTAGATCAAATAGTTCAAATAGACATCATCCATTAACATCAAGTACATTTGTGATAATAATGAACCATTATCACAAATTTATGTTAAAACACTAAGTAAGGGTTTGGTTACTTATTTAAAATGTTTTTAAAAAGAAAATTCAAAAACCATTGCGTGGCAACAAAAAACGAATTCGAAAAAAGATAACTGAATTCATCCCTGGTTATCAAAGGCAAAGCGAACCGGGCTCTATCCACTCGCCGCGCGCGCCAGCCAATCATATCACAGATCTCGCCTGGCGGCTCTTTTGTTCGTCGGCGACGGCACCTAGGTCACGATTTTCTACTCAGTCACAGCCGGACGTTTACGCGTGAGATACGAAACTGCATCGCTGCCACCGTACCGCTGCGAAGCGACTTTTTCGTCGATTTTTAATTTGTAGTTTTAATTTTAAGTTAACTAGTACCTAATGTGTGTGTTTAGTTTAGTGAAGACTAGTTAGTTTAGTTTCATAAAGTTGAAAATGTCTTTAGAAGCAAGCGATTATTTGAACCTTATTTTATTAAACGCAGAGTATGACTATAACGCAAGGGCAGCGTTACGTTTGTACCGTGAACGTTTTCCTCCTCCACACCCTACAAACCCTCGCGTTGTTACAAGCGCACTTTATAGGCTTGGTGAGGGCATTTGAAGAGCTCCGCCGGCAAAATAACGATAGTAATGTACTTTCACGCGTGCACCAGCATACAAAACCGCGTGCTCGGCTCTGTCTGCAGAGAGGAGTTGGACATTTCGAGCATCGACTCCAGGTAAGTTATTAAATTACTAATAAACATCATTAAACTTAGTTATTATTAAATGTATTGCTGTTATTTCGAGGGTCGGTCGGTGTAATCTGCACACATCGACATTACGTGTACGCATAGTATAACTCTGGTGTACGCCAACGCGCGAGCGTGTGCGCGTTAAATGGCTGTCAACATTTAGAATTCTTATTTTTAACACCAATTTTTCAACTTTTCTATATTTTCAATATTTATTAAATAATATGAACATTTGCATGCTACCTAACTTGAAACTTTCAGCTTTGTCGGTCGTTTTTGGGCTCCCTGTATATTTGGCGCCTTGATTTTAAAAGAAACAAAAATAAATTACCTTTACTGGTCGTAGAAAAAAATGAATAAGTTAAGCTTGCAAGTTTTGAATTAGGCTTTTAGATGATAAGAGAAATTCAAAAACTAAAATTTTGCTGTTACTGCGGCTTAGGCTCGAGGGGCAGCTATGGTTACAAATAAATATGTGTAATAAATTAACAAGATCCTCGAATCTGCTAACCATCTAAACATTAAAAGTCAACTTACCTTAACTTTTGATCTGACAGGTTGCTGCAGAACGAAAATGGCGAAAATGACTACTCCTTGTAATGCGTTTATGAGATCGAAAACGGACCACACAGAGACCGCTGTGTTGCCCGCACCGGCTGCCCAAGAAACTACCTCAAGTACCCAAGACAAACCCATGATGAAGGACAGCATACAACATGTCCGAAATCTGAAAGCAAATAAGTCATCAAAACGCTGTATAAATTTCACTAAATTATTAGTTCTATTACACGGAAAAACTTTTTAGTTTACAATACTACAAAACGTCTAGGTTAAGAGAAATACTGTAAAGATAACTATAATTTTGTACACAGAAACAGAAATATTGTTAACATAAGTTGACATTTTGTAAGCAATACAATTACAGTTCTGTTATTTCTGAAATTGTAATCAGCACTGAAAGTATATTAAACATTACAAGAAAAATTGTATTTTAAAAATCTACAGCACGAGTTATGATGAGTACTGAAAATACGTTTGTAATTACAATACAATTAGTATAGAGAACAATCAGTGATGTTGCATTTGCAAAACTTCGCGCGGCTTGGCGGCGATCGAGATGCGGGGGGGTGAGGGGCAGTGAACTTATTGCATCATTTTTCTTTCTTTTAGTCGCGCGCGCAGTGAAGTGACAGTGATAGGATTACTATTATTTACCATTACGCTTATTAGCCATTACGCTTCCTAATCGTGTTTTATTGTTTTAAAATTGAAATGGACGAAGATGTCAGAAACTTACTTATTGCTTGGGTTCTCAGCGGTTATGTGGATGTGTTCTCTGGTAAGTTTCATTTATTTCATATGTACTCATCATAAATGATATACGCCTGACTTTTTAGATTACATACATAGGTAATTATAATCACGCCCATATATCGGGGCAAGCAGAGCCCTACGGTGTAATTCACACAAGCGGCCACGTCTGGCGAGGGAGCTAGATGTTTTTATTGTGTTACTGAGTAGTGATATGACAAGTGCTCATCAGCCCGTCGCCTCAATAGAGTACTTTAAAATGTCCTTTCCCTTCAGTCTGATACTCTGATTTTGGATCTTGCACGGGAATGATGGCGGCTGTTTATCTTTTTCTCCCAGAGCTGCGTATGAGTACATAACTTTGTAAATATACAAAATGTTATGTTGTGAGATGTAGGTGGGACTGGGATATAAAAGTAAATCCTTACCTCTTTTTTAGATATTAGGTACCGGGCTGACTGATCTATATATTTTTTTTTGATTATGTATTTTTAATTTCAGAAAACCACATTATGATGGACTGCTTAATGCTGTTGGACTCGCATATTATTAAGAAGCTCATACCACCAGTTGGACATAGAGTAAATTTTATTAAAAATTTAAACAATTGGAAGACCTTGATGGATTCTGAGAACGACAATCAATCCAATCAATCACAAGTAAGAATTTGATTTACATACTTTTAATTATATATAGGGCTTTTGCCCGCAACTTCGTCCGCGTGGCTTTCGTAGCCTATGTGTTGACCCAACCTCATAGTAATATTCATGCAAAATTTTAAGTAATTCCATGCAGTTCTTTTTGAGTTTAGCCCGAACATACAAACAGACAGACAAAAATTCTAAAAACTATATTTTTGGCTTCGATATCGATTGTAGATCACACCTCAAGTATTCTTTTTACAAAATATTCAATGTACAGTTTTGACTTTCCTACGATTTCATTATATGTATAGATATTTGCTACCATTTCCCACTTCAGGCACATTAGGCATTAATCTGTCGGTGCCAAGTTCATGAATCATATTATATTTTCAGAAAATATTCATAAAGACCTTGAGTGGCTTAGAAAATCCAGGGAGCCTTGGAAAACAGTTGAAGAGAAAAGGAAAAATACATTCAAGATTAGACTTGAAGAGACTAAAAATATAACAGTATCTGACTACATGAATGAGCACCCTGTTTTAAAAAAGCCGACAGGGTATCAGCTACTTCTAATTGATTCTACGTTTTAATTAATAAAAGTGTTGATTCTTATTATTGATTGTTATTCTTTTATTGGCATTTTCTGCGGGAACTGTCGTGTATCGACGTGATTGCTTAAAGTTCAGAGCTTTTATTTCTCGGAAAACTTAATGAATCTTGAGAAATAAAAGCATATTTTAAGCAATCACGTCTTTACCGCCAGTTCCGGTGGAATAAGCCAACTACTTTTTCTGGTCCATTTACAAAATAAGAAGTTACCTACACAATACTCTATTGTTGTCATTACAAGTCATTTTGTAATGTGAACGTATCATTCTGTTCCATTTATAATACAATATTTGTCAGAGGTACACAATAAATCGTATCAGTAATTTTTTTGTAGTAAATTAAACGATGCCATTCAGTAAATTTAATTAAACGTTTATATGTTATTTACAAAACTTTTGATTAACAACATAAACTTTCTTGTTGGTAGGACAAAAAAGGATTGTAGACCTGAAAAATTAAATAGTAAAATTAACAATAACAATGTGACAACTACAATTCATGTTTAACTAGAATCATTGTGTAACGCTTACGATACGAGTGGTCGTCACATATAGAGCAATAAATATTGTAATGGTAACCAGAATATGGTTACACATACCAGAATAATTTTTCCGTGTAAACTTACTAAAACATGATATTCAAATGGCAATGGTGGCTATCTACAACCACACTTTTAGTTTTAATCCTGACTAAATTAAGATAACAATAGTAAACGCATTGATTATATGCAGAAAAGCAATAATATAATCATATAACATGATGATTACATGATGAACATAAACAAAACCAAATATTTTTAGTTTAAGAATTATTTCCAACACTTATCTAAAGTATGATTCATAACTTAACAAGGTATTTCCTATATGAAGTGGAATACCTATGTATTTATCACGATGCAATTGCAGAAGGTGAAGTGGAGTAATATTGTGAAAGATTATTGGTTACTTAGAAGCATGCATTATTTGAGGCTTTATATACCTATTAGGTGTCGACTACAAAGAGAAATTAATTTAATTTTCATTATAACAAATAATTGGATATCCCTGAATTTCAAAAAGGAATTTGGCATAATTTTCTAAAGTAAATTTTAGCATTTCGTGTCAGTCTCAGAATTTAATTATAATCCTAAAAAATTATATTGTTTCGTACATAAATCTATTTTATAAAATTAAATCGATTGCTGTTCGAGAACAGCTGCGCCGATTTAGCTGATTTTGTTATTCAATATTTGTCATAGTCCAGGGAAGGTTTAAACAAGAGGTGATACGAAATACACCGGATAATCTAGTTTTATTATATTTTAATTCACAGAAATACTTCTTACATTTTCCTATACTTCTTTATTCGGTATCGGAAATTGTCATGTGACTCTCTGGGAGGCGAGGATGTCCTCTCATGTGGTGGAATAGTTTGACCAAGCACAGTTCCCAGTCGCACCCAATCATCCGATGTACTGAAATCTGAGTGCGTCATGTCTAATGCTAAAAGAAAATATAACATGATGAGAGACAACTTAAAAAAGTTCAAGGTTAATCATCCCAGGTTAAATATTAGTTATAAGGCAGAAGACCAGGTATTGGCCACGCTTTTTTAGCCATTTGAGATTTCAATGCGTTCTAATTAAAGCTTTAGCAAATATATTATTTCATCAAATGCGTAAAATTATGGCATAACTAAATGTTGCGTTGATTACTTTGATGTGTCAAAGTTCACTTCCTCGTAACTTATAAAATGGCCAAATCAGATCAACTACCCCACTTTTACAGATAATGCAGAAATTTTTATGTATTCTTAATGAAAAGTGACTACAGATTGCGAAAGGTCATGGGTTCGAATCCCATCTCACAGTGCCAGGGACAAAGTGGATCTTTAAACATTTTTCATTAATAAGTTTTTGTATATTCAACTCTCAAGTTGTACCCATAATCAACATAGTGAAACTCTTTGATTTACTTTTTACTTTAAGTACGTATAAATTATGCTATTATAATTTTATAGTGTATCGATATTTTCATTATATGTCATTGTTTCATTATATGTCATTGTTTCATTATATGTACCTTAAAAGTCGTTTTTAAATGAACATTTGAAGAATAAATACTGTAATATCTTCAACATCACTTAAGCATTATCTTTTATCTATTAGTAATTTCATTTCCTTTTACAATAAGTAAATAAAGCACTTATTGTAAAAGGAAATGACTAATATCGGAAAAACAAGGTAGCACCATTTTAAACAATGACTAAATATTTTTATTGTAATCTAAAAACAAGCTAGACAAGATATTTTCAATCAACGCCTTTTTAGCTACGAGTAAAATAGCTTTATTAAGATTTAATTAAATTAATATCCAAAATATATCTTACGTGTTATATCTTTTAGTTTGTCGTAATGCTTCGCAAATGCTCTTGACGTCAAGAAAAATATCAAAATATTGGCGATGAGAATCACGGCTACTGGTCCGTAGAAATAAGGCAATGCTGCTTGATCCGCTGCAAAAAAGTACACAACAAATTACTCCAAATAAATAAATTGTTGTTTTCTTTTTGATGTTCATGGAATCATTAAAAAATTGATTATTTTTGTTTACTCACTTTTAAACCAACAGCCTTTGACTCCAAAATTTGGCTTCAAATAAGTGCTAGGCACCGCTGGAGATAACTCCATAACAACGGTGACCACCAATAGAATAACTGGGAGCAGTATTGCGTATGCGCAATACCACGCAAATCGGCGACGCATACTTCTTCTACTAACTGTTGAATTGATGTAACGCCTGTTTTGAAGCAAAACAATATTTAATCAATACTTTTAATTCATATTTTTATATCAAATCAGAATAATTAAGTCATATACACACCTGACATTTAAAAAGGTATCGAAACACATAACGTTTAACCAGAAAAAGCATGATACAAATGAAAACTGGATGGTGTAGGCTGAAACAATATTTTTCAATTAGTCTTCTATTGATTTTTTCGCTATTCAGATAAAATAAGTAATTTTTTCAAGAAATCTTACCCATAACTGAACAAACTGCCACTGGAAAAGCATGGCCTGCCAATTGAGTAGCCGCCAAGCATGAGAATGCAATTGCCAAGCAAATCGTATGGCATGCCAGTGCTTTTCCGTGTGTATCTCTAAGTTCTCTGATAAGGATATATACAGCTGCTGTCGCTAGTAGAAACGGAACCGATATTATTAGACCTAAAATAGAAATTCATTAAATTTAGCAATATTATTACATCAACATCATCACCACGGGCCATCACTGTTTAGTTTGGTGGGTGATAACAGCTGCAGATATAGAGAGAACTAATGGTTTAAACTTCCGACAATAAAGTCATCAGAAATGTAGTTTGTGGCCTTATGAAAGTTTCTTAGTCTGCGCATCCAAGGTCGAACTTAGCAATCACTACGCTATTTGTCTGCAACACGGCATAACAACAATGGATGAAAAATTTAAGGAAGGAAACAAAGCTCTTTGATGCCTAAAATGATTTCAGTGAATAGATAAAGATATATAAAAGGAAATAACATTTACCTTCTTAAACAAAGAACTTCCCTGACTGTAAAATCTTAATACCTAGATATTTGTATACGTCATTTTGGACAGAAATATTTAGAATCTTAAACTACTATATACTAGAGTTAGTTTCATTTTCAAACAAATTATTGTCATCTCCTACTCTCTCTTTTGACATGTGCTTTGGTTGTGATTTATTAATAAAGACAGTATGTAATTGACAACAACAGCCAAAATATTGAAATTATATCAATCCAAGCGACTCACCGGTTGCATATGCAATTAGTGTAGCTGATGTTTTAGATTCCTCCAATGGTGTAGTAAAACATACCAAAGGTAATGTTATTCCAGCAGGATTGGACTCATTCCAAAATGTTTCCATGCAAAAATCCCTCGTGCCCAGCAATGAAGGATTATTGAAAGGTACAAATAGTGAACCGTTCACTAAGAGATAAAATTCATCGGTGCTAACTTTATCGGGTTCCAATTTATACCTGCAAAAATAAAAAAATGTTTTAAAACCACTGAATACTAAAAGACGTCAAGAGTCTTTCGAGCGCCGATGAGCAAATAGCTTTGTATTTGCTGACGCATACTCTCACTTTATCGTCAAATTACATACGCCAGCCAAAACCTATTGGTATGAGTGATCAATTCAGCACTCTACCTTGCCCAGCCCAATTAGATTTGCGTATTATGTGTTTAAACGAAAGCTAGTATCTATTTTAGAGCCACGGCAATGATGAGCAAAAGCGGCGGACACAGGTGACGTTCTATATCTATTCCAATCACTTGCTTGTGTCTGTAGTTAAAAACGGTCCTATATTTGTATATTTATATGACATTTTACATTTGAAATTAAAATTCTCAAATCAAATGCAAAGGGTTTAGCCGGATACGTATGACGAGTCGGCCCCCAAATGGGAATCGATATTGAAACTTATGTTTTAATATCGACTTGATGTTCAAACACGATTTATGTACTTTTCGCGATCGACTTCCGCTTTGACCTTGAGATAGAGAGCAAAATATCCGTATGCTTGACTATTACTGAATGTGATATATCTCTGAAGCTAATTAAGATAAAGAAGTAAAACTAACGCGAGGTGTTAGGTTACATTACAGAGTATATCACGTATATTTTTTTATAATTTTTAGAATAAAAAATTACATTAAAAAAATAAAAAATAAAAAAATCATGTTTTTTTTTCTAAGTTCTCTGTGACTTACAATCACGAAATTAATATATGTTATGCTCCTTTGTGTGCTCTATCACCCATAAAAATTGCGTGAAAAAAAAGTTGGTGCAACACAACGAAAAAAAATTATATGTGATTCGCGCCTTGTAGTGTGAGTGTATAAATAAACAAGTTCGAACTTGTTATCGCGCTGTTTACTCCATCGTTTGTTTAGCTAAAGTCGCAGTCATTTGTATTACACAAGAAGGCAGTTTGGGACTCAAATTCTGTCATAGGTATTTTGTATCAGCATTTTGAAATTATTAACTATCGAACCAAATCATTATTAAGTAATAATGTCGAGAAAGTGTAAAAATTGTAACAAGTACCTGTGTAAGATTCCTGGTTATAAAAAAATTATAAAGAATGAAGAAGAAGCTAGAGTGTTTAGTGACTGTTTGAATAAAATCGTAATAGTTAATGATATTTTTTGTAAGAAGTGTCGACTTATCCCATATATTAACAAAAAAGCTTCTACTTCTAAATGTGCAGCATTTAACTTGGCCGAAATAATGGACGATCAAAATAATCTCTCAGTACAATATATGAAATCAGCACCTAATATCATCAAAGCAGAAGTAAAATCAAGACATATAAATAGAAAAGTCTATCGAATTTACATTCACTATATTTCCGAAGGTAATGACCACAATAGTATTCTTCGTTATTGCTGTGATTGCCCCAATGGCAAACGTACAGTGGGATGCTGTTCTCATGTAGCAGCTATTATTTATTATCTATCATATGGATGATATTTGTCCAAAATCGTACGTCCTGCTGAGGTCCTAACTAAGTTATTTGCGACTCAAAGTGTTCCGATTGTAATTAATTACAACAGTGACGATGATTAATATTTTGTTTCTTGTATTTTGATAGACACGAAAAAGTAATAATAATAAGTATTGAACACTGGCTGTTTTTTTTTTCATTTCTTTTTTAACTATTATCCCATCTCTTAAGCCTATTTACTTATGTTTTAAAACAAGCTGATGTGAAATTTCGAAAAAAAAAAACAATGATGTAATGTGAAAACCTTATTATACAGGGGTATACCATAAGACAGAAATCACATATAATTTTTTTTCGTTGTGATGCACCAACTTTTTTTTCACGCAATTTTTATGGGTAATAGAGCATACAAAGGAGCATAACATATATTAATTTCGTGATTGTAAGTCACAGAGAACTCAGAAAAAAAAACATGTTTTTTTTATTTTTTATTTTTTTAATGTAATTTTTTATTCTAAAAATTATAAAAAAATATATGTAATATACTCTGTAATGTAACCTAACACCTCGCGTTAGTTTCACTTCTTTATCTTAATTAGCTTTAGAGATATATCACATTCAGTAATAGTCAAGCATACGGATATTTTGCTCTCTATCTCAAGGTCAAAGCGGAAGTCGGTCGCGAAAAGTACATAAATCGTGTTTGAACATCAAGTCGATATTAAAACATAAGTTTCGATATCGATTCCCATTTGGGGGCCGACTCGTCATACGTATCCGGCTAAACCCTTTACGAATTGAAAAATAGCCTGAAAAGCATATTCTGACAAAGGCAGTTACATGTCACAAGGACCTGTCGTAGGAGCAGGGGTTGCCGACGATAGTTTCGTAGACATTGCTGTCGTAACTCCACATATGCGTGTCGTTGGCTTGATGGAAGATGGGCTGGAAGGTCAAACTGGTGCGTGTACATGTCGACTTCACTTTGCCATCTTCGAAGGTGACGCTCAAGTTTTGTCCACTGGCACAGCATTTTGGAACCACGGGTAGCTGCTTGACTTCTTCTTCCTGTAACAAATAATAAACTCGTATATTTTCACAAATAACTTAAAATCTGTATTATCTATGATTAAAGTCTGGGTATGTTTCTATGAACATATATATATATATATATATATATGAAATGGTACAGAATTTCCACTAGATTGAGTCGCGTGACACATTATTCCAAATTAGGTCATGTTCCATAAAAGCTGAATTACAAGGTAAGGACAAGTTAATTACGCTCGTCATTCAAACGATGATAAATTGCTGAAGATTTCATGACAACATTATCAGTATGTTTTCTTAAAATATCATTATATAAGTCCATACTTTGCTAATACAGTCAGGAAAGTTAGTTTATATAAATTTTTCCCTTTTCCATGTCACAGCAATATATCGTAATAGTATTATTTTTGTGTAAGTTAACGGGGAGGCAGGAGAGGAAAAACGTCTCATTCATTTTAGTGCGCTAGCGGATGCGAAGTGTCATTTAAAAACTTTATAAATTTATCATTGCTACTATAGAAGTGATTGCCGTTAATTTGAAACAAACAATACAGTCTATTAGTAACAATTCAATTCATTAAACATTGAATAGTCTCAGAGAAAATTAATAAATAGTCTTGAGAACAGGCAGCCGGACCGACCTCTTTTTATACTTATCTATATTTTGATAGATTTATAATATATTTAGAGATTTGTTTTGATTATTGTTTTTATATCGACATATTGTTTTATCATTAGAGACCTGCTTTTGTGGACAATCTAAGTTATGTGAAAGGTCTGATTTGGATTTATTTTCACACCTGTGCCCACACTATTCATCGTCACCCACGCCGTTAACAAATTGCGATCATAATTAAAATTCTAAAGTTTACAATTACAGCCTTTATTGCCATATTTTCTTGCATGTGACTTACTTATGACGTGTTCACTATGCCTTGATAAGCTCTAATCAAAATTCAAGACAAACGTTTGAACTTTAACATTATTCATAAAAGAAAGACTGTGGTTTACAGTCGCAATGCCTTGAAATTGGTCACGTAATTGGTTGCGTCATATTTTTAGATGATCATATTATGTTTATTGACAACTCTACAACAACTCAATTTAGTGCTGTTAGTTCTTAAATTCCAGAAAGTTCTGTAGCAAGTAAAATAATGGAAAGGGATAAATATATAATAATACAATTAATAAATAGCACAACCAGCACAGTCATCTACAAAAGAACTGTAAAACCCACGTCATTTATCTCAAAAAAAGATTAATGAGTAAAAACGGTTGCTTCTAGTACAGTACAGTTACAGAGTATAGGTATTCATTATTACTCATACGAATGCTTACAAGGACCGATGCAACCACGTTATCCAGAAAGAAGTAAGAATTGTATTTAATTGCAATAATGAAATATAAATATGTTTTATATGTAGACCAACAATATTATATTTACTTATTTATATGACTTAGTGAGTTATGTCATTATTGTTGATTTAAAGTTGTTGCATGCAACTTTATATCAACAATAATGACATAACATGTTCATATACCATGTAGAATATTTAGTGTTACAGATGCAGGCCCTTTGATAAAAAGGCAACTACTCTGCCAGCCGTATTGTTTAAGTATTATTTTTTTTTTATAAACTAATAATTCATTCCTAATTAAGAAAAAATAATGACAACCTATGTAATTTCATCATCAAAAGTTTTCTAAGTTTTCATATGGTCTTCATTAATACTATATAAATTATCGTCACATAATTATAGCACATGCTATATAATATGTGACAATAATTATTGGAAATATCGGAAAATATCGTACCGAGACAGAAATTACTTGTTAATTATTGGAACCGTGTGTAGCCGAAGCAGATCGATAGCGTACTAATAAGAAAGCAATAGGTATACTGATTATTGGACTTAGACATCAATAAATGCATCTAAATAACTTTTAAAAGAATTCTTTATAATATGAAGAGAGAAGACGTTTGCTAGATTTTAGCTAATTTTCAAGCGTCACCGTTCAGCTCAACTTGCTGTTTGAGTATCTAATTTAATTCCATTTTATTTTTCTAATGCACAATATAGAATTTTATTGCCACTGTCATTAAGTTGGCCAATATATCGTTATATTACCATCAAGCTAGTCGATGAAGTATCGACAGAGTTTGCTATAGCAATATAACCGAATTCAGGCACTAACTCATAGCTATCGTATTTGAACAATTATAGCAAGTCTCTACGAGTAAATGTGAAATTCGTTAGTTTCCTAGCGATCAGAAACATATCGGTAAATGGACTTTACAATCACTATTTAACGATTGCTATCAATTAATATAATGGCAGTATATACAAGGATTTGACGCAAATAAACTTATTAAAACTATGTATAAAGCCAAATGGGATTACTTGAATTAAACTGCATAGATATGTGGTTTTATAAACGAACAGGCAGTTTTTATGATGTATATTTCATTTTATATATTCAATAAATTATTTTTATACACCCTGGAAGTCTTATGCAGTGTTCTACACACTGAGGTACATTGACACTTATAAAGATAATTATAATTAATAAAATCAGTGCACAAGATTTCAAGTTTTAAACCGAAAAGAGGTTTTTAATTCGAAAGAAAGTTTTCTGTTGTTTATCTTGCACTCAGAATAAAACCTTCGATTGTGCCCCTTTTTCTCCCTCTTCCTAACTAAACCAAAACATCGTATCCCTGATACACAAAAAAAAAACATCAAATTGTCATTGTGTCATCTTGTTAGCGACGTGAGCGGGATAGTGATAACATCTATAGCATAGAACCTAAGCCAATTTCGAACGTGTACGCCGAAATCTTAACACAATTTACTTGCGTACAATATTTTATTGTTTCCGAGTAACAAAACAGTAACATGATTCACAAGTTTGTTCTTGCTCGCTTTGAATAAGGGAATTTTTGATATCATTTCTATACATTAATGGTTTGTCGGTTTATACAAATTCCTACATCACTTGAACGTGACAAGACGTCAGATACTTCAAAATAGAACAGCTACTATCATCCCATGTATGGAAGGCTGTTTAATTTTGTTGTTTTTTTAAATTTTCTAAAAAAAAGTTTTTTTATTGTTTCCAGAACATAGTCATTGTTTGCGCTTGGTAAAGTGAGATCACGCATATTTGTACCTCATTTATTTCTTAAATATATATCTAATTATATGTGTAACAATGTGGTATTCTGAGATTAGAAATTTGGACATGAACTATAGGTACACCTATATATAACAATGATGTCGTAGCTTTCCGTCTACACACTCTATGAATTAAACTATTTATAAAGGGTATTCTACCAAATTAATATCTAATTTTATAAGAAAAACAAATGAGATCTATCGGTGTAAGTAGTTGCCAAATATCATCATTTAAATATTATAAAATCTTTACTCTACGCTCATTAACACAAGAATGAAAGTAAATGTCACGTGTGGAAAGTGTGGATTCGAGATCGTCCTAGACATTTTATATGACAAATATGGACTTAAGTAAAAATTGTAGTTATTCGATGCTACAAACCTAGTTTAATTTATTATTTATTAGTATTGTTATTAATATTTAGGGTCATTTATCTAGTCAAACTACATTCGGGAATCAAAGCACACTGCACTTATTTATTACTACTAACTTGCCCTGGCTTCTAGTAAACAATATTTTTTTCGACATATTATAATGCAGTAGATTTATATGAAACCTTAATTGTTTTATTACAAAAATCTTTTTTTAATCTACTTCAAAGAAGGAGGTCCTTTTTGCTCTCGGTTTGACCTATATGTATGTATCTATGTATTTATATACATATATTTGTGCGCGATTATCTCGCGTTTAGCTGAACCAATTTTGACGCGGTTTTCAGAAAAGCACTTTTAGTGTTACCTTTTATATAACATCAATATCATTAAAAAGCGTGAAATAAAAACTTAAAAATAATAGAACCGACTTCAAACTTAAAAACTCATATACTTATCTCAAAAGCGACTTAGGCACGAAAATCGGGCGCCTATCATTTAAATAATAACATACAGGAAACCTCCGCCCGACTTTAATAGCATTTTCTTGAATAAGTCGCTTTTGAGATAAGTATTACTTTTCACATTTTTTTTTTAATTTCAAGCCGGTTTTAATTTTTTGTTTAACTTTATCCATTAGTAAAATAGTATAAAAATGAATTCAGTGATAATTGAGTTGATGTCGTTTAAATAAAAGACTTTATTTAAAAAAAATACTCGACTTCAGCATGTTATTTATGAATACAGTCAAAGCAGATTTTAAAATGGCGGTATAATGAGATATTCGACGAATAAGTTTTATCTGAATATTGGAAAATCTGTAATTCCATTATGCCCTCACGAAATCTAGTTTGAACCGGTTACCGCCGAATGCGCCGTTGGGCTAACGATCAGTGCCCTTAGCATGAAAATTATCGAGTGCGAATCCAATTCGTATCGAGCATATATGTTTTTACACAGAGCTTCCGTAAATAAAACTCATTTAATGTGTCGCATTAAAATTATATGGGTTTAATTTTTAAATAGTTAGTGATACATTTGTGTGTTGCATTGTGTCGCGATAGTTGTATATCCGTTTCGTTCTAATAAATAAAAAGAATCACGACAGCATCACCAACAATACAACACGACACAAATATTCTTCTGCCTGATTTCCAATGCAAATTAGTCTATGACCCTGTACTGTAACGGCGGCACACGTTACTTATCTCTACATAGATAGAATCTCTAATTTTTGTGTCTATGGTTAATTCAAATTTAAATAGTGTTTCTTGTTAGCGTTCGTTTTAGAAACAAAATGGATACAGTTATCGTTCT